GCAGGATCTTTTTGTCCTCGCAGACATACTCGCAGAACTCGCACTTGAACCTGCCAGGACAAGGCCATCTGTCACACAGGCAGCAGGGACCTTCTGCCTTCTCCCTGTGAGCGGGAACCTGGGACACCGGTTCCATTCGGGCACGCGGCAGACTGTCGTCTGGCTCTTACCTGCGGTTAGCAATGGCCTGGATGTGTGTCAGCAGGTGCATTTTGAAGGTGTAGCGCTTCTTAAAGGACTTCCCACACTGCAGAAAAACAAAGCAAAGCAGCACTCACCTCCTGTCCAGCCCCACTTGCTGCTAACCGCTGTCCAGGCCAGTTCCCACCCTCTCACCTTGTCACACATGTGCGGCTTCTCCGTGCTATGTGTTTTCATGTGCTGAGTAAGTCTCTTCTGCATGGGGTAGATACGATTGCATACAGGGCACGGGAAGGAGTTCAGCTTTGGGGGCTGGAGGGAGAACACAAAGATGAGCTCATCTGGGAGAGGCTCAACAGCCCTCTTACCCTCCCCATCCACAAGCCCTGGGCTGCCATTTCTCTGTTGATCCAAAAACACTGCCATCAATTAGGCACCACGAAGTTGTGGAAGCCGAAGACGTGCCTATCCTCTGGGTAACAGTGCTGAGCTTCAAGCCATCAGGGTATTCAGACTCACCGGATCAGCTCTCTTTTTCCTGAAAAAGAAGAAAATCCCTGCTAACCAAACCCCAAATTTGAGCTCCCTTGTACCTCAGACACCTAAACTGCCCAGTTCAGAAAGGGCCAGAGATCAGGTGCAGAGGCAGCCATGGCTGCGCTCCCAGGGCAAGGGGAGCGATATCAGTGCTGTTGAGCCAGGCTGCAAGGTAAGTCTGTGGGACTCCACTTTACTTACCTGTCCCGACTGTGTACTGTGGAGTGGCGGATGACGTCCTTCTTGTACACACTGGTATAATTACACTCCTCACACTTGTACGGCTTGCTGCCCACATGGTTGAACATGTGTTCCTGCAAGGAGCAGACAGGGAGCTGTGAGATCGGGGGCTACCAGCCACCCTCAGTGGGATAGCCTGGGAACGAGATGGGCAGCAATTACCTTGAGGGAGGACCAGCGTCGGGAGCGGTAGCTGCACTGAAGACACTTGAAGAGCTGTGGGTCATTGGCCTCGTGTGAGTTGACATGGAAGCGCAGATCATCATGTGTGAGAAAACGTGAGCCACAGATCCGACACAGATATGGCCTCATCAGAGGCTTGGGTGACTTATAGTAGTACCTGCAGAAACAGAACTGGGGCTCAGAGCTGTGGTGGCAAAGAGGGGCTGGACCGGCCCTGGTCACAAGCCAGACGGCCCAGCGATGGCTTGACACACACCCCTCACCTGCGCCCCATGTACTTGCGGTATTTCTTGCCCAGGAAGCGGCGAGAGGGCCGGCCTCGCCTCCTGGGGATGACATCCGCCTCCTCGGGGCCGGTGTTGGAGGAAGGATCCTTGTTCTCAGAGTCAGACTGGCTAATGCTGGGCTCTGCCAGGCTCTCGCTGGTCCCGTTCTCCAGTCCAGAGGAACTGGCTGCTTCTGAGTTCTGCAGTTCACAGCTCTGCGTGCTTTGGGATGTCACTAAGGGCTCCACCTCCCCTCCTGTTCAACAGCAACACAGCACAACTGCATCAGGCACCCTTGCTGCGGGCTCCCAGGCGCTTGTGTTTTGCTCCCCCCCCAACTCAGCAAGTGGCTACTGCCTCCCACTTCTTTACCTTCAGGCACGTCCTGAGGCATGTCTTCCAGACGAGGAAACTTGCGGGGTCTCCCTGGGCGTCGCCGTGGCCTCTCCTCACTGGACGTGGGGACAGTGCGGCTGTACTTGGGCTGTCGTCCACGAGGCTCATCCTCAGCTGGGTTATAGTCACTATCCTCTGGAGGCAAACAGGCCAAAACATTAGAGATAAGGGAAAAGATTAGGTTGGATCAGATGTGGAGGGAATGAATCCTACCTTCAGGGTCATCAATAGCACCAGCATCCATGATATCATCATCATCTTCTTCCTCTGGGACCTCCTCCTCTGCAGTCTTTGGAGCAGGACCCCCTTTCCGCGGACGCCCCTTCTTCAAAGCCAAAGCTGAAGCCACTACCACAGAAAACAGAAGGAAAACTCTTAAGCAGACTGCAATACAGACCAGGTTTTTACACTCTTACTCCTCCTCTGATTTCTTCCACAGAGAGAGAGCAGTGAGCCCCCCCGCAGCAAGACAAATTTTTCTTCAGTCCTTACTATGGCAACAACCCATATACCTGGCTGGAAGTGCCGCTCTTTCATGTGATTGATTAGCGTTTTCTTGGAGACACTCTTGTACTGACACATCTTGCACTTGAATTGCTGCACCACCACCACCTCCATCATCTCTTCCAAGGTCTCCATGTCTGGCTGATCCAGCTCCTCCCCACCATCTGCCTCTCGGACCTGATCTGGCTGTGTGGGCAGCTCCAGTACTTCAGACTGCTCAGAAGGGCCTGGCTGGTCAAGGCACGTGGAGGTTGGTCCCTCGGCAACAGCTTCTATCGCCAAGCTATTGGCCAGAGCAGAAGTGGCCATTTGGGACACCATGGGGGCACCTGAAACACCAAAAACGGCTCAGCCAAGGAGCAACGCCTCACCTTATACAAGCCACACGTACACCTTGAGTACGGGGCTGAACACTAGCTCAGTAACCATGAGTTCCCAACAGTCAGCACAGCCATGGTGACTCTGGTACACAGGCTGTGGCTGATATAGTTGGGGCATCCTCTCCAGGCTCCACTCTTGTCCTTTATCCTGCTGGGGGGAGGGAAGGGGAGCTGGGAGCTTCTCCCCTGCAACATGTCTTTCCTACAAACTGCCACAGCGGGTTTTGTACTCCGCTACTGAGGGCCGAGTATGGAAACAGCAAAAGACTCATAGGCAGAGAAAGACACTGCTGGAGCTACCAGAGGCACATCCTTACCGTCATCAGGTCCTTGCAAAATGAGGTACTGCGTAGTCTCTGCACCACCATCCTCAGCGCTCGTCACAGCGATGCAGCCTGGGGAGGGGAAGGAAAGCAAAAGGATGACAACTGCCAGACATGGGGGACGTATAGCCAACAGGGCAAGTGTTGCTCTCGAGTTCAGGCACAAGCAGGAGGGGGGGGTTAGAAAGGTTCAGCTCCAGGGATTTAGCCTGCCCTGAACTGCTGCCACCTTGGCTGAAGGAACACTGAGGCAGAGGGAGAGCCTTTCAGCAGCCCCTTGCAATAGCCAGGAGCTCCACAGCAAACCCTCCCGCCACTGAAGCAAGGCAGTGTCGCGGAGGAAAAACCCTTGCAAAACAAGATATATATGTATGCATGTATAAATTTCTACCCTGCCTCCCAACCAAATCTGTTTTCCCAAGGTCTAGCACCGTAGCAGCTCCCTTCCCCAGCCCTGCCGCACATCACAGCAAAGCGTTTGGAGCTTGCCGAGTGCTCCAGAGGAGCAGCAGACAGACCTGCCAGGAGCACAAGCAGCTGGGAGAATACACTCACTCTGGATGATGTCAGGCCCAATTGTAGACTCGATGATTTTGTCTATAGCAGAACCTAGGTCTGAGGAAGTGGATGCAGTGGAGTCTGACACAATTGTGGCTCCGTCAGTGATGACGCTGGAGTGAACCAAGACCTGTGGGGACTCTGACACCATGATGGATTGGCTCACTGTGGAGACACTGGAGACCAGGGTAGACTGGGCAATGGAGGAAGAATCTGGCAGGTAAATCCGGGGAATTGCATCTGTGCTGGAGCTGCTCTCGGACACCTCTTCCTAGGTGGAAAAAAAGAGGCCAGAGGAGCTCAGCTAAGAGGCCTTTGCTAGGCCAGCCCCTTGGGGGGAGCCGGTGTCTGCAAACACCACCAGTACTTTGCTTCACGGAATTGCAAGGAAAGGTATCAAAGTAGTTTCTTTAGCTACTGCCAAGGACCCCGACCTCCAGTGCTGCTTTTGCTCTCCTCCTCAGACTGGCAAGCACATGCCTAAGAGGGAGCGTAACAGTGCCTTCCAAGGCTGCTGAGCAACAGAGCTGGCTCCTGAAAATCCCTTTCCCTATATCGTGTCAGAAACACGTAGAGCAATTAAGAGCTTCTGGCTGTCAGGAACCCGAATTACAGTTGCTCGCCTTTCCCCCAATGACCGCCACCCCGTCTTCAGAGCTGCTTCCTACCAAGGAGACCCCGCTGCTGTCCGAGCTCTGACCCACGCCCGAGTCGTCTGCTTGCGCCAGGAGGCCGGGGGCCGAGGCGGCGTCGCTGCTGTCCGCAGACACGGCCTCCGACGTCTCCGCGCCGAGGCCGCTCTCCGAGGGCTCCTCGCGCCCCGCCTGGGGCGCCGCGTCGCTGCT